TGCTGCCTGAATGGTCAGTCTCTGCTATTACACTCACATCTTAGTGAATCAGGGCCAAAACGTCAACCAATAAAATGCCTCCACCGTGTGTCCTGGTTCTGGACAGTTGGGTGTTCTCTAGTGTCTGGTTACGTGTGCTTCCCTCTGGTGTTCAGTCAGATGTACTTTCCTTTTATACGTTTTCCCGCATACAGAACATGAAAACGGACGCTCTCCCGTGTGAATAGTCTGGTGTTCCCGGAGGTGAGCCTTCTGTGAGAAACATTTCCCACATTTCAAACATGAGTATGGCCTTCCTCGTCTGTGTGAGATCTCTGATGAGCAGTTAAAATCTCTTTCCGCACAAAGCTTTTCCCACACTCTGAGCAAGCATGCGGACGCACCCCAGTGTGAAGTATCTTGTGCCTGGGCGAGACTCGCCTTCCATATGAAACTTTTCCCGCACTCAGAACACGTATAAGGACGCTCGCCCGTATGATGTCTCTGGTGCGCTAGGAGATACTGCTTCTCACTGAAACCTTTCCCACACTCTGAACATTGGAACGGCTTGTTACCAATGTGAAGTCTCATATGGAGGGTGAGGCCTCGATTTTGTGAAAAACATTTCCCGCACTCGGAACAACGAATAAGGCTTTTCATTAGTGTGAGTTACTTTATGTCTATAGAGCTTCTTCTTTTTCTGGAACAGTTTCCCGCACTCTGGGCAGGGATATACATCAAGAGAGGAGGTACCGATGTCATACAGGCAGAAAATGTCATATCATCCATTTCAGTGACTGAAAATTCTGCGGGATCTGCTGGATCTTTGGACTGATCTTGAAATATTGGTTTGAATATCTTCAGAAATTGAGCATGATTTATTAAAACCCTTCGGCATGATCGGGGGAAACCCTTCCGTGGGTACCATCTGCAACGTGTGGGTTTAAGAACAGGGTTCTGTCCTTGGCAATACTGCTCTGCGCTACAGTCTGAAGACGATATATGATGTCCCTCCAACGTAATCAGGAGATGGTTGTCATCTAGTGGGAAGACAAGATTTCATGATTATTTGATCCATTGCAGATAGGAGTTATATATATTGGTCTAGTTATCGGTTGTATATCCCCCCTCAAGAGAAGATGTTCCCAACAAATGAGGAGGAGATACTGGACACCATATGAAAGGTCCATCTCCATTCCTCAATATATCGTCATGTTCCCCACAAATGAGGAGGAGATACTGGACACCATATGAAAGGTCCATCTCCATTCCTCAATATAACGTCACGTTCCCAACCAATGAGGAGGAGATACTGGACACCATATTGAAAGCTCCATCTCCATTCCTCAATATAACGTCACGTTCCCAACAAATGAAGGAGGAGATACTGGATACCATATGAAAGGTCCATCTCCATTCCTCAATATAAACGTCACGTTCCCAACAAATGAGGAGGAGATACTGGATACCATATGAAAGGTCCATCTCCATTCCTCAATATATCGTCATGTTCCCAACAAATGAGGAGAGAGATACTGTACACCATATGGAAGATCCATCTCCGTTCCTCAATATAACATCATGTTCCTAACAAATGAGAAGGAGATACTGGACACCATATGAAAGGTCCATCTCCATTCCTCAATATACGGTCATGTTCCCAACAAATGAGGAGGAGATACTGGACACCATATGATCCCACAAAGGTCCATCTCCATTCCTCAATATAACGTCATGTCCCCTACAAATGAGGAGGAGATACTGGACACCATATGAAAGGTCCATCTCCATTCCTCATATATGACGTCATGTCCCCAACAAATGAGGAGAAGATACTGGACACCATATGAAAGGTCCATCTCCATTCCTCAATATGACGTCATGTTCCCAACAAATGAGGAGGAGATACTGGACACCATATGAAAGGTCCATCTCCATTCCTCAATATAACATCATGTTCCCAACAAATGAGGAGATACTGGACACCATATGAAAGGTCCATCTCTGTTCCTCAATAAATTTGTTTGTCCAGGAAATGATGGGGAGATGGACCTTTCATATGGTGTCCAGTATCTCCTCATTTGTTGGGAACATGACGGTTACAGTATGTAGAATTATACAACTGATTACTAGAGCTGTTTCTGCATTTATTACTCACCTGAGCTGATATCTAAAGATTCCCTCCTCTTTCATTTCTGCCATCATCCCCAACTTCCTCAATAGACTGCCGATCACCCCTCAAAGGTGCCTCCTCTTCCTCTTCATCCTCAACTTTTATATCCATATCATCTTCCCACTAAAGCAACACAAATGATTTAAATGAAAATAGAGAGTACTAATAGACGAATACTATACATAATTTAACAAGGTCATACCTGGAGAATCGTGAGTCCTAGATCTTCATCCTCCTGCTGATGGTGAGGGATGGCGTGATCTTCCTGTGTGGAATCCCAGGAATACAGAGGATGAGGACATCTCTCTGGTGGGTTCCCATGACTGGATCCATCTACCTGATGATGGTGAGGGATGGTGTGACCTTCCTGTGTGGAATCCCGGGAATACAGAGGACCGGGACATTTCTCTGGTGGGTTCCCATGACTGGATCCATCTGTAGGAAAAACACACACACTGACTGAATCCATTGTTTCTATGTGTTTATCAGATGATGGGGGATCTAGGTGGAGCCTCCGTACTGCTCTCTCCTTTCCAATAAAGTCTCCTCTTACCCGGTGATGTGAGGGGCGGCTGATTGTCCATCATGACGTCCTTGTAGAGGTCCTTGTGTCCTTCTAAATACTCCCACTCCTCCATGGAGAAATAGACAGTGACACCCTGACACCTTATAGGAACCTGACACACACAATGATACAGTCACCATCCAGACACATCCCTTGTCTGGTTACTGGAGAATGTCCCAGAATTCCCGGCACCGCTCACCTCTCCTGTCAGCAGCTCCATCATCTTCTTGGTGACTTCTAGAACCTTCTGCATGTTGTGTCTCTCAAGGGTTCGGAAATGAGGTATTGTGATGGCCACATGGTCACCAGGCATAACAACAGGAAAATTCTGTATTGAAAAAACAGACTTAAAGCCAAATAATCCTCCCAGAATCCTCCTCACCTCTCCGGTCAGGTCTGTGTTATTAATAGAGATGAGAGTGATGTCATGTGACCTCCCAGAATCTCTCCTCACCTTTTCCGGTCAGCAGGTAGATGATCTGCAGGCTGAGGTTTAGTATCTTCTCAGCCACGTGACTCCCATCGTCATCCATCATTGAGTTGGTCATATCATCTATCGTCTCTGTAGAGGAAAAATAAGATTCCCTTTGGGTGGACAGTTGGTCCTGAAAACGTAAAAAAAAAATACTGTTCTTGGTTTCTGGACTGTGCCGGCACTATGGTCATTCAAGAAGCAGCTCTTTTTATTGGTACCCACTCAACAAACCAGGCTGCAAGTGGCTCGGTGTTCAAGCAATGCTTCTCTACACATAGGGCAGAGCTCGGTATCTCCGGGGCACCCCATGTCTCCAACTATGCCTCTGTGCACCCCTTGTCTCTGGTGCACACCAGTGTCTCCATTTACACCTCAGTGTCTTTGATGCACCCCTGTGTCTCTGATGCCCCCTCTGTCTACAGGCACCCTCATGTCTCTGATGCACCCGTGTCTACAAAGCACACCCGTGTCTCCAATGCACACCCGTGTCTACAAAGCACACCCGTGTCTCCAATGACCCCCTCTGTCTCCAATGCACACCTCTGTCTTCCTCCAATGCACACCTCTGTCTCCAATGCACACCTCTGTCTCCAATGCACACCTCTGTCTCCAATGCACACCTCTGTCTACAATGCACACCTCTGTCCTCCAATGCACACCTCTGTCTCCAATGCACCCCTCTGTCTCCAATGCACACCTCTGTCTCCAATGCACACCTCTGTCTACAATGCACCCTGTGTCTCCAATGCCCCCCTCTGTCTCCAATGCACACCTCTGTCTCCAATGCACACCTCTGTCTACAATGCCCCCCTCTGTCTCCAATGCACACCTTGTCTCCAATGCACACCTCTGTCTCCAATGCACACCTGTGTCTCCAATGCCCCCTCTGTCTCCAATGCCCCCCTGTGTCTACAATGCACACCTCTGTCTACAATGCACACCTCTGTCTACAATGCACACCTCTTGTCTACAATGCACACCTCTGTCTCCAATGCACACCTCTGTCTCCAATGCACACCTCTGTCTCCAATGCACACCTGTGTCCTCCAATGCCCCCCTCTGTCTCCAATGCACACCTCTGTCTCCAATGCACACCTCTGTCTACAATGCCCCCCTCTGTCTCCAATGCACACCTGTGTCTCCAATGCCCCCCTCTGTCTCCAATGCACACCTCTGTCTACAATGCACACCTCTGTCTCCAATGCACACCTGTGTCTCCAATGCCCCCTCTGTCTCCAATGCCCCCCTCTGTCTCCAATGCACACCTCTGTCTCCAATGCACACCTCTCTCTCCAATGCCCCCCTCTGTCTCCAATGCCCCCCTCTGTCTCCAATGCACACCTCTGTCTCCAATGCACACCTCTGTCTCCAATGCACACCTCTGTCTCCAATGCACACCTCTGTGTCTCCAATGCACACCTCTGTCTCCAATGCACCCCCGTGTCTCCAATGCACCCCTCTTCTCTCCAATGCACCCCCTGTGTCTCCAATGCACCCCTGTGTCTCCAATGCACCCCTGTGTCTCCAATGCACTCCCGTTTCCAGGGCACCACCATGTGTCTCCGATGCACCCCCGTGTCTCCGATGCCACCACCGTGTCTCCGATGCACCACCGTGTTTCCAGGACACCCATGTGTCTCCGATGCACCCCCATGTCTCCAGGGCACCCCCGTGTCTCCGATGCACCCCTGTGTCTTTGATGCACCCCCCGTGTCCCCGATGCACCCTGGTGTTTCCAGGGCACCCCCATGTCTCCGATGCACCCTCATGTTTCCAGGGCACCCCCATGTCTCCAATGCACCCCCGTGTCTCCGATGAACCCCCATGTCTCCGATGCACCAAGTTTTAAGGGCACCCCTGTGTCTCTGATGCACCCCCCGTGTTTCAAGGGCACTCCCGTGTTTCCAGGGCACCCCCGTGTCTCTGATGCACCCATGTCTCCAATGCACCCCCATGTGTCTGATGCACCTCCTTGTTTTTAGGGCACCTTGTGTCTCCGATGCACCCCTGTGTCTCCCAGGGCACCCCCATGTCTTCCATGCACCCCCATTTCTCTCAATGCACCCCCATTTCTCCAGGGCACCCCCAAGTTTCCAGGGCACCCCTGTGTCTCCGATGCACCCCCGTTTTTCCAGGGCACCCCCTTGTTTCCAGGGCACCCCGGTGTCTCCAATGTACCCCCATGTCTCCGATGCACCCTCGTGTTTCCAGAGCACCCCATGTCTCCGATACACCCCCGTGTTTCCAGGGCACCCCCATGTCTCCGATACACCCCCGTGTTTCCAGGGCACCCCCATGTCTCTGATGCACCCCCGTGTTTCCAGGTCACCCGTGTCTTCCAGGTCACACAGCCTCCGGCACACTCACGCACACACTAA